GAAGACCCATCCAAATATTATATATATATATATATATATATTCCAAGGATATAATAATACTAATAATTATTAGTTTAATACATTTATATGCATAATTAATTTTTAGGAGCATGCTAGTGGAATCATCGAAATACTTAGAGTATCAGATTTGTTGTCATTCGAGGATAAACATTTCATTTCTAGAGCATTAATTCTTATTAATTGTAGTAGATTTACAACTATTTTATATGTTTACCAGCCATGCCCTTGTTACTTTTTTTTCTTTAATATGTTCCAATTATTGCTTCTAATGAAGTAACCCACAACCTTAATTTATTGGTGCAAAATTCACTGCATATTTGAGTTAATCCTACAATTACAAAAATTTATTTTTATTTATTTGTATGAATAAGTCAAGAAATAACATATTTTTTTACATATTATACCAGTGTAAAAATTTGAATGCATGTGTGTAATAACATATAAGTTGATTGAAGCCTTTTGAATATTAGCTAGTTGTGTCAACAAACCAATAGAGTGATAACTCTACAAGAAATCGTCGGGTTTTCTTGAGTTAGTATTCTCCTTGTCGGCTTCAAGGTATTTGTTAAAATCGACTATAGAAATATAAATGAAAAATTGAATAAGAAGAAAATTGATTTGAAATGATTGTATTTTTCTTTAAGACAAGTGAGCACATTTTATTTATCACTCTCTTGTTTCCTTATAATGTTATACATACATGAAGTAATCCTCTCTATTTGTTATTCATAATACATTTTCCATTTTCATTACCATTTATACTCTAATAAGTAGTTATTATTTACTATGTTTGCTTGCCAAATTCACTCATTGATATTTTTCATAACATGTTATCTTCAGCCACCCGTAGGAAGTTCTTTACTAAATAAGACTTGGTAGTTTTAAATTTTCTATTTTAATATTTTTCAATATTTACTTTGCTTATTTTACTTTTATTTTTGAAACTGAGGAGTCTTTCCTGCTATTACTTTAGTTTTAATTTAGTCAATCTTATATTTTTTTTCAATTGTATTAGTAAACTATTAATTATGAAATACGGATTAAAATTTCTTTTTTATTCATTTATTGCTTATATACAATCATCCTTTTAAAAATAATAAAAAAAAATAAATTTAATTCATTCCATCATACCTTGTATTTTCAGGACCTACCGTCTTCCAGATCTGGGCCATTAACGCTTGACTCTTACTTTATTGAGTACAAAATTAATTCAATATTTAATCTTTGAGCTAAACTTCTAGCCCTCAAAACAAATTTGTAAGTCAAATAAGTTAAATGAACTTGTAGATAACTTGTTAATTAACCTCAACGGAGTTAATTGAGTTATAATAAACCGGTCCACATGAACTTGTAGATAACTTGTTAATTAACCTCAACGCGCTAACAAATCAAATTTGAACTAAATTGACTCGACTTGTGAGCTTGTGAAACATTTTTTTTAAATATTAGAACAAAATACACTAAGAATGTATTAAAAATAAAAAATGTTGAACAAAAAATTACTAAAAGGATCTAAATACACTTATTACTTTTTATATTAATTTATTTCTCAATATTTCTTCTCTAATTTCTTTTTTATTTTACTTTTTTTAAAACAATTGTATAAATCAAGGTATCTCGTCTCTCTATTGAATTGAACTTAGCTTGAGCTTAATTAATTAGTGAGTCTCAACAAGCTCAAGCTTGCCATGACTCGAGTTGTATCAGTTTACACAAGCAAGCGAATGAAGTGCGACGTAAAAATATGCTTGATTATATATTGTTGGGATGAATGGTTAGAATAGTAGCAGAATGTGACATTTGCTAGATGTGATGTTAGGCGAATACATTTCTTTTATGACAAAAATACTACCAGCATAAATACCTCATCCCAACTTCTCCATATTACCGTTCTAAACTTAAGGGGAACTAGCTCCCCACTATTAACTACATAGGACCAATCCTACATAAAGCTTTCCTTTCTATTATTTACAGTAAAAGTGGGACAATAAAAACCTGATTGGATGGATACTGTACCTCACCAAAAAAATAAAAATAAGAGCAAATCTCCAATAAAAAGAAAAGTTTTGGTTCATAGAATACTGTTTTCCTGATACAAGAAAATATTTTGCTTGCAGCGTACCTCCCCAAAAAAAATGCATAAAATCTGGCCTTTCATTATGCTTTCAGATGAAAATCTTTAGCCAAAAAGCTTTCCTTCAGATCATAAATAAGAAAATAAGGAGAAGACGGAGCTAGAGATAGGCCTATCTGTGGCAGAAACTATGGCTCTGGTTGGCGCATGACTGAGCTCCATTGCTTGTTGAGGGATTGTCAGTCCTAACTCTCCGGTAGAAAAGCACATAGGCTGCTGCTGACTTCACTTCTTCTTCATTTATAGAAGATACATGGCTATCATCAAAATTATACCATCTGTTTTCTTCAAAAAGCTGCAGAAGAAGGAAATTTTTAATCAGTTGTGTTAACTGATAAACCTTTCGAAAAAGTAAATTGAAAATTTAAAGGAGTATTTGCATACATTCCACTAAATTCCTATGCATTTACATATGTAACACCTAAGCTTTGCATTTACATTTATACCACCAGAAGTGACGCGGGGGCTGAGGCCAGCCGGCTTAACCAGCTGCAGAAAGACAGGAAGAAGGGTGGTCCAGGTCTCTGCTGGACTGAGTGGCATTTAGAAGGGGCGGTCATTGCTGCCACCCCTTTCTTCCTTTACTTTTCTATTTCCCACCGGACTCCTTTCCTCTTCGGTTTCCCTTCTTATGGAAGTCTATTTATATGCTTGTTTGCTGGAATTAGGGTTATGTTTTGGAATTAGGGTTATGTTTTGGTGTGTTTCTCTTTCAGATTTCTGCATGAAGTTTTTTTTCCCTTGCTAGGCTGTCTTCCGATGACAGGAAGTGCTCAGGTTGTATCTACTTCAAGGTGGTGTGAATCCTCCCCGAATCCCTCCCCCTCTTCTCTCCTCATCTCATTTACCCACCAGCCTGCTCCTATAGTCCATAGTTTACTCTTGTCGCCCCTTTCCCTGCCGCATGCCTGCTGTCCCCACCTCCCCAGATCCACACCCAGCTGCCCTCTATATAGCCTTCCTGAAGTGCCTCCATCCCTCCTACCAGTTTCCCCCACAGTCGTGACCCTTCCCTATAGCCCCGCCACCTTATTCTTCCTTACGATTGCAATCAGCCCTTTCCCCTACCACTACTACTCCTAACCACCACACCGACACCACCACTGCCCTCAATCTTCTCTTCTAGCCCTAGCAGGGATTGGTGTTTGTTGCTATTGATTTCAGTTTTGTCATATTTGTAACCCTCATCATTTGCTTAAAAAAATTTGCTCCCGTTACCGTTAGTTTGATTAGTTCCCATATCATTTCGTATCAGAGCTAGCCCAAGCTAGTTCTATCTTAGGGTTTCCTGGCATCAACCATAAACCAAAAAAAATTTTCTTTTGTACCACCAAATACTTTTTCCACTGCCACAAATCTCAAATCCTAACAATGCCTCCTATGAGATACATACCCAAGGCTACCCGAGAAGAGATACAACGAGAGATTCACCGACTTCAACGGAGATTGACGGACATTGAGGACAATGCCCTGAAAGGAGTTACCCTCGATGGTGACATGGAAAACCGAAGAGGAGAAATGGACGAAAATTTCAACCCCTTCCATAGGAGGATGTGAATGATGAAGATGAAAGGCCAAGTCATTTCAATATCTAGTATCAAAGGAGGTCTAGAGAGGAGACATCAGTTGGAGGAAATATTAGACTACAGAATCAAGGCGGATCTACAAGAATTTGAGGGAGGTATGGAACCAGAAGAACTTATTGATTGGATACATTTGTTGAAAGGATCTTCGAGTATAAAGATGTATAGAAAGTTAGGAGGGTCAAATTAGCTGCGCTATCAAGTTGAAGAAAAGAGAAGGCAGAGATAATGTTACCGAGTGGGAGAAGATGAAAACCATGCAGAAAGAAATATCTCCCAACTTATTACCGCCTGGACATATTTTTGAAATTCCACAATCTACAACAGTGAGAACTTTCCGTAGAGAAGGTTACAACTCAATTCAAGCACTTACAAATAAAACGCGAGCTGATCGAGCCTGACGAGCACAGTGTAGCTCGATACCTTGGGGGACTGAAGCTCGCTATTATCAATGTGGTCTAGCTACAACCTTATTGGTCACTTGGGATGCCTAGACCTTAGCACTGAAATTGAAAAGGCAGTAGAAACAAAGCAGCCATCCACCATCAGTCAAGCGACCACCCAAAGTGGGAGACACCAATAAGAGCACATCTCAGAGAGTTGAGAAAACTGATTCAAATAAGGATAGAGCCACCCCCAGTGAGAAGAAGTCTGAGAAGAGTAGCACACCTGCTACAGTCCCTGCTAAAAAATATTTCAAATGCCACAAATTTAGGCAAATTGCCTCCAGCTGCCCGATGAGCCAAGTCATGCCTTTTACCAAGCAGAGTGCAATGGAAGAAGTTAGCAATGAAGAGAAAGCTGATGAACAGGGAGGGGTGTAATATCTACTACCAGATGAAAGAGACACTTGTGGTTCAACGGATCACGATACGAGGCATCTGCAATGGCTTCACTACAACATATTCTACACTGCTGCACGGTGAACGGGAATGTATGCAGTCTCATCATCGATGGGAGGAATTAAGAATATGATATCTACACACTTGGCAGACAAATTGAGAGACTCAGAGGCACTCTCAGCCATATTCTTTAGCATAGCTGAAGAAGAAAAACATAGCCAATATTTGACTGGATATGCCTAATGGAGTTTTTGATTGGGAGTCAGCTACAAGATCAAATGTAGTGTGATGTTGTCCCTATGGATGCTTGTCACCATTTGTTGGGGAGACCACGACAATAAGACCGAAAGACTTAACACAACAGATTTAGGAACACATTCTTTCATCAAGCACGAGAAACACATCATCTTACTTCCTTCGGCGGAGCCCAAGATCACAAAAGCCTTTACTAGCATAGCAGTATCGGTGGGACCAGTTTTGGTGACAACGGAGGATGACGAGTTTGAGACACCAGCACTAGCCACAAGACATGCATGACAGAGAAGACTTTTGAATATCACGGTCAACATCTTACCACCATGGCCACCACCGTGCAGAGAGAGTCAAGCTACCCTCACTTCAAATCGGATTGAGTCGATCGTCAATTACTTCAACAGTACTCAAAAGCATGTGTGAAATACACAGACTTAGTTCAGTTCGGTAATGGGACCTCGGGAGAGCGGATCGATATGGATGGATGATCGCAAGTGGGATCCAAGTTCAGTCGTGAGAAAGTTCCTCCAATGCTTCGAGAGACAGTGCAACCAACAGTGGGATCCAGGTGCTGCTAAGACTAAAGACAAGGAACCAGAAGTTTCAACGAGTGAGGTCGAAGCTCCCCCAACCCCAGGAGAATTACGCGGGGGATGAGGCTGGCCGGTTGAACTGGTTGGCAGAAAGATTGAAAGAACCGATTTGAGTGGGGATGATCCAGGTCCCTACTCGATCAAGCAACATTTAGAAGGGGCAAACATTGTTGTCAGCCCCTTCCTCCTTTTCTTTTCTGTTTCCTAGCTGACCCCTTTCCTTTTCGATTTCCTGCCTGGTGGAAGTCTATAAATAATTCTTGTTTGTTGGAATTATGGTTATGCATTAGTGTGTTTCTCTTTCAAATTTCTGCATGAAGTCTTTTTCCCCTTGTTGGGGCTGTAATTGACGACAGGGGGTGCTCTAGCTGTATGCTACCTCGAAGCGGTGTTGTATCCTTCTCGAATCCCTCTCTCCTTGCTCCCCTTATCTCCTTTACCCACCGGCTTGCTTCTGCAATCCACTGTTTACCCCTGCCGTCCCTTTCCCTATACAGCACGCCTGCTGTCCCACCTCTCCATGCGCCCAACTTGCACCCTGCTGCTCTCCATATAGCCTTCCTGAAGTGCCTCCAACCCTCCTACCACTTTCCTCCACAATAGCAACTCTTCCCTACAGCCCTCAACTGTTTCTGCCATCTCCTTTCCTTCCCTACAAATGTCGTCAGCCTAGTCAAGGATTAGTGTTTGTTGCTATTTGATTTCAATTTTCAGTTGTGTTTGCAACCCTAATCATTTGCTTAATAAAATTTGTTTCCGCTACCACTTGTTTGATTAGTTCCAGTATCACAAAACTTTCATATCACATCAAAAAATATCACAATCTTAACTTCTAGAAAGTGAAATACGCCTTCTCATGTATAGGTAAGGTGGTATGCATGTCAAAATTGAAGTATAGGTGTTAGATATGCAATTGCATAGGAGTTAAGTGGATATGTATGTATACGGGTGTCAAAAACGGATCCGACATGCCAACACGGCTCGAACTCGACATGAAAATTCCGGGTTAGGGTTGACCCAAATATTTTTTGAGCCGTGTTCGGGTCAGAGAATTTGACCCGCTTATTATTCGTGTCAGGTTCGAGTTGAACCCAAAAACCGAAACATGACCTGAATAAACACAAAATTTCGAGTTGAGTTCGGGTTAGCTGATTAAACTCGGGTTCAGCTTAGCGGATCAAACTCAGGTTCGGGTCGGATTTGGGTCTTAGTTTTCAACACGTTTATTATTCGGGTTGGGTTCGGGTTGACCCTATTCAGGTAGGGTCATATTCAAGTCGGGCCCAAACCAGACCTGCTGACCCGAATTGACACCTCTATGTATGTAAACCTTCCAATTTTAAAGCAGACTTTAAATGCATGATTTGGAGCTCAAAAAAACCTGTTTATTGAAGTGAAATGTATAGATGTCATGTTGAATTCGTGAAACTATGTATCTATGCATGTCGTTGCATAAAATAGACAGATGATAAAAAAATTGATGAGACGGATCGTGAATTGAAAATCATGAACAGCATATTATGAGGTCCAACACATAAATTGATGGAAAGGGAAGGGGAACAAACTCCACATATACAACTTGAAGTAATTCATGTATACAACTCCGATCTTAAGCGGATTCCGACCTCCATTATAATCAAATTTCATTCATTTAGCAATGAATCAATTAGTGTCTTAAATTATGAACCATCAATCCTTATTAATAGAAATATGGTTGTAAAGACCCAAATTTAAGTGCATATCTAATGTAATCTAACTTCACATAAAGTCGAGCGTTTTTTTATGGATTAAGTGAAGGGGTTGTACCACTATATGAAGTAGAGAGATGTGGATGGTTGCAAGTATTGTGACTAGGAGCGGCTGTGTAAAACAGGCTAGACATGCAGCGTCGACCATGATTGTGGGTTTAATGGGTTCAATACATGATTTCAAAGAAAGATACAAGGTTTAGTGATATGGTAGATATTGCAGACATAATTTAATTTATCAGATAAATGAATTTTCCTAAAAGGTGTGCATTTTGCA